ACAGTTTCTTTGTGCAGCGTTGTGTAGGTAATTCATGGAGACACAACGACAGTCATTTATGCACAGAATGTGACATTCGGGAATCGTTGTGACTGTTGTAACCTTAAACATGTGACCCTCTAGGGCGTGGTCGCCGACGAAGTTCTGGCTTATATGGAAACTAAACGTTTGGCAGATATTCTCTGCAGAAACTTGTTTGAGCATCCGGAGCAGCAATATCAACTTAAACCATCGAGGAATCTCCATTCCACCTCTGAAAATGAAGCTTGAAAACTAAAAAGATAAATATAAACATTGTTTTAAAATAGCCCACCGGAATTAGAAGTTGAAGGCATACTCTGTTTCAAAACTTGTGCCCGCTAGAAAAGAGACTGCCAAAAAGGCAGCAAGACACGAAAGCTACATAACTAACTTGTATTTGAATTGTCTAGATATGGTTATGGATCAATTTGTTTTCTCTAGACTAAAATGGAGGATGACAAGAGCTTGATTTCTGTGAGTTGCGGATATTGTTTCACGTGTTTAAGAAGGAAAAACTCACTCATAAAATATTTCATAACCTAAGGAAATTAAATGTAAAAGCTTTGAATACAAATTGCTTGGAGCTTATTAATGAAGCTTTAACAATTCTCCGCTTTCATACGATATGGCAAACTTTGTCTTGAGTTGTAAATACGCACTCTAACTAGTTTCATTATGGATTCACAATGAGTTTGTTTTGAACTCAAATTTATGTTTAGTTTCACTCAGAAATGTGAAGTTTTCTTTTTATCCTAGCAGAAATTATACATTTGAAAGTTTTCTTGATGAGGGTTTTAACCTCCTGTGAAAATTTTCCAAGAAAGTAATGAACTATTGTCTTTTTTTGTGATATCTGCTCATAATGTGTATACTTTAATTGCCATTAATCTTCACTTATCGGAGAGCAACGGCGAACCCGAACTCGATTCTTTGGTGATCTTTCATTTACACGGACATGTAGAATAAAGAAAACTACTCATTGATAACATTACAGAAACATTCCTGTGATAAACTTCCTAGATGTAACATGAGGATGAAGACAACTTTGCCTTCTAGCACTCGACTGAACGGGATCTCGTCTAGTACCTTATTGTTCAGTGTTTTCACCAGCATCTGTTTCCGTCTCGATTTTACTTTAGCCCGTTAACAGCTCTTCAACAGAAGCTTTCGTATTCTCAAGTCTGAAGTGATGTTCCAAATATTTCTACAACATTCATCTCAAATGCATTAAAGTATCTTTTAGTTCTTACTCATTTCTTGAATGAATTTCACGTTACCTTAGATGCTACTACTGGGGTTTGTTTTTCTGATTTCTGCCTTCGCAGAGCCAGTTCCACTTCGATAAAAACCAACGAAATTACATAGACTAAGCAAGGTCTTCCTAAGTATGTGTCGTCAATCACGTCAGATATTTATGACATTTCACAAACGGAGTTTATTTACTTCACATCGAGCGTGTCACCTCAGATCCAATCACAACAAGAATGTTTTATTTATTTCTTCGAATGAATCTAAAGCAAACGGTGACAATCTACTGCGAAGAGAAGAATTACTTTGCAACTCAAAACGTGAATTTAGAATGACTCAGTGGGTTACCGCAGGCAACTGAAATATTGGCAACAGCTGGTTTTATCAAAAAGAAAGACTGAAATGTAAATTTTATTCAGGAAAAAAAGGATTTTGCTTGATAGCTAGATAGTGCATGGTCTAAAATGTATGTGGTGAAAACTTCGGGTCAGGTGAGAACTGACAGTCCGTAAATAAAAATCTTGTTTAAGGACGATAGCAAAACTAGGAGGTGAGATAAATATCATTAGTGTAACTTTTTCAAGTTTTCAACAGAAATTTTCGGTTAAGCAAAACCTGAATAAAGATATCATTGGATTACCAATAAAATATTGTTTAGACATGTTAAAATGAGCTGTGTGGTCTGTAATCTTCAGTAATTCCGCCATACATAAGTTAAGACGAGGTTAACCGTTAGCCGTAAAATGCCCAAAAAAAACTCGGCCTTGTGGCGTAAAAATTGAAAAATTTTAACCGTAAGTCGTTCAAAAAAGTTAACCATTAAATTTTTTCTCTTGATCGTAACGGAAAGAAATTAACCGGTGGCTGTAAGGAGGAGGTTACTGCTTCGTATTACATGTTGCAATCAGTAGTCTCGTTAACAGATAAAACCGGCCCAATGTGAACAAGATTAAACAGCATTGGACGATTCGATTGAGGCCTTGAGTATCGCCCACGGAATCGTCAAGGAATGTAAAGAATATTTTCTTGAAAATGCCGTAGAATGGCGAAAGCTTGGAATAAAAAGAAATTCACTCTTGGCTCAAGGCCCCAAACAAATGGTCCATTTAATCAACGGCTGAAGGACAAGTTCACAGTTTACCGAATAACATTGTTTCTACTCATTTTTGTTCTTCGAAGAAAATATTCAACTCTTGTAGAAGATTAAGAAAAAAAAAAGAGTATGGGCCTGAGCGCTCTAGGCAATATTTTGTTAACATGTGAAAAAAATTGTAATCAATTCCGTGGGACAAACACACCCGGTAATTTTTGTCCTACCAAGTTTTGTCTCCGAAGGCGTAAAAAATATGAGAGAGTTTTAATTTACAAGCCATGATTTGAAGAAAAACGACAATTGAAAAAATTGAATTTTACTTTTAAAATAAGAAACGTTTGAGCAGAAGCCCGCCCAAGTGTTTTGTTTCAACGCCCGCACAATTCCACTCTGAAGATAAAAGATTCGCGCATGACCGCGATCAGTATTCCGGTTACTCAGAATACGATTATTATGGCTCCCAAGTTTACATTCCAGCCTACACCTCCAGGTCCAAGTACTTTTCAAGTTGTACATCCATGTCATTAACAATTTCTTGATAATAAATATTTTGCTGTTTTTCAGTGCGCCATCGATTGACAATGTAATAATTTGGCGGAGACAAATTTTTGTGAGATTTAATTTCTGGTTGAGCCAAGCAGATTTTGTCCGCAGGACAGTGCGCTTAAGATATATTTTTATGTCTTTGTAATAAAGATCGTTTTGATAAGAATGAAACAGTTGATGTTTAGCAATGCCAATATTTAGCCTTCTGACGAGGTCTTCTTGAAATGTTAAGCAAATCCAATACTATCAGAGCATAAATCCTTACATTCTTNCAGATTGGTTCATTTGAGACAGTCTGGTCTTTTGCCTGGATTGGTTCATTAGAGATGGTGGGGTCACTACAGATAATTGGGTCATTGGAACAGATTCGTTCATTTGAGACAGTCTGGTCTTTTGCCTGGATTGGTTCATTAGAGATGGTGGGGTCACTACAGATAATTGGATCATTGGAAGAGACTGGTTACAGATGGTGGGGTCACTGGAGATAATTGGGTCATTGGAACAGATTGGTTCAATTGAGACAGTCTGGTCTCTTGCCTGGATTGGTTCATTAGAGATGGTGGGGTCACTAGAGATAATTGTATCATTGGAACAGATTGGTTTATTGGAGACAGTTGGGTCAGGAGGCCCTATGTGCCACGAGGCGTGAAAAGGATTGATGATGACTGCAGCTGCCTACACGACCACGAAATTTCTTTCTTTTCATCTGAGCGACTCAAAACTAAATATTCAGAAAAAAGTAGCTAATTCAAGAATTATTCCAGAGCATTTGGAAACAATTTTAAACCCTTTACTTTAAAAGACGATTTTGGGCACGTTGCCAAATGTAAGTTAGTTAGCTTTCTGTCCTTTCTTCCTTACCCTTCTCCAATGTAAGTTATTGAGACGCAAGATGCCGTACTATTTTCTGTAATCTTAGCATTATTGCACTCAAATATAGCGCATTTTCAAGTAAGTATCGAAAGTGATCTTAGATTCCTTTGCTCTTGCTTTACCTCGCTCCTTTATTGGTCCGTAAAACTCGTCGCTCCATCTCAACCAATCAAATGCAACCTGGTCACTCACGTTTTCCCGCGCTCCTAATCTGTGTCAGTTTTTAATTTGATTTCTCGTTGGTTAATGATAATGTTAAACTCTGTTCTGATTGGTAGTTTTGATTAAGTCATCTTCACGCGACATGCCCGAAAGAGGCATTACCAAGGAAATGTGCTCAGTAACAAGCAGGGATAAGATAAAGTAAAAAAAACAAACCCACCTCATTCTCATGGAACATTGTAATTTATTTATACAGGCACACTTTTCGCTAATCTTTATCCTGCAGAGAACAGAATATTGCGTCCATCACTATTTTTCTCCAAATATACAACTGACTGGAAACTTAGCTAACACTCTTAGTATTCTTCGTTCATTCTTTCAAGGAAAGCTTGAATTGCAATATAATTCAAAATTATTTGTGACATTGACTCATTACGTAAACAACGCATCATCTAGATCATTACAGTATTCAC